TGTAAAGGGTAAAACATAAACAGTTACAGGGAGAAATATAAATTCTCTTTGCTTGTGATAACATATTTATTGTAACAAGCTGAAGGTGTTTATCTGCTGTGTGCAGTTCCATATAAATCAGAGTCTTTCTGATTATTATAACTACGATATTACAGCCCTGTGTGGAATTTCTGTGGAATAACTGTTCATAAACTTCTCAAAATCCACCAGCATAGGCCTGACCTGAAGGAGGTTATCTCTGAATCTACGAACTCCTCTGGTGTAGCTGGAAAAGCTCGTATGTCCCAGGAGAGGAAGAACTGCAATTCGCAGCCCTCCCCGATTGTAGCTGCTGGAGCGTACGTGAGGTCTGTCAGGTGCCTGGAGGCAATTGCAACCTCTGCTGGAGGATTTCATGCAACTTACAGCTCCTGTCAGGCACCTGAAGGTAACAAGGATCCTCCTGGGTCACTCACAAAACCTCTGCTCACCATCTGACCCAGCTGCAAGTCAACTTAGGAGGTCAGGCTCCGGCACCTGAGAAACCATAGTCCTCTACCAGCCCAGCAAAAACAGTATCATGGTCCTCTGAGGAGGCAAAGCAGCTCCAGCACACTGCCCACTGGCATCAGCCGCACGTTTCCACCTTCAACCCCTTCAAAATCACAATCATCTCACCAGGGATATTACCTGGGGGAATATTACCCAGAAGGAGGAAGGGAACAGTACAGAAGGCCCCAAAATTCTCAGTGTGTTAAAACATAGTCCTCAGGTTCTCAATGAAACTTCAGGGAAAGCAGGTTTCATGGGGACTTTTTCTCTAAAGGGCTATCTTCAAAATAAACAACAGGGATTCTGGCAGCTGGAGGTTTCATGAAAATCTGTCACATATGTCAGCTGTACATGTTAAAAGACTGATCAAATAGTTTCATTCCTTTGAGGTTTCACTTCTCCAGCCTCTATGAAAACATCTTCATCTTCCACACAATCACTATTGAAAACTATTTTAGGATAGTAAACTATCCTAAGTAAGCTACCCTAAGTAACTGTCTGCTGATACATTGAGTTTTTCTTTCTTTACATCTAAGAGAATATTAGGGGAGGAATTAATTTAAAATACATTCTAAAGCAAGGAACTTGCCAGCCTGGCTCCTATCCAACCTGTACTATCTTTACTACCACACATCTCATGCAGATTGCTTCATCTCTGCTATTTTCTCTAAGAACTACTAAACAGATAACATATGTGAGAGACTTGCCTAACATCATTCTCCAGCAGTAATCCAAAGGGAGCTGTATTCCATGGTTTGTTTTCCACCCAAAGAGGAGGAACATTTCTTCTGCCTCTACCACATGGTGCAGGGCAGGGGCTTCAGGGGTCCCTACACACTTCAGCCAGAGACACACCTCCACAGCTGCCTTCTCGCCACAGCAAGACACATAAGTACTCACCAAACAAGACCCAACAACCATCACAAACTCTTCTCTCACACCTGTAACTCATTTGTCTATTTCTCATGGGGAGGAGGGGGCTTATATTTGGGTATTTGTAGGTGCCAATCACACTTTTGATTAGTAACAGGGCTGCAGGAGCTCATTAAGCAAGCAGGTGACTTGTCAAAGAAGAGTTATTTAAAAAAGAAAATGTTACACCATTCCCAGAGCAGAAGAGCCTTATCAGCTGTACATGGAGCAATACTCAGCTGCTGAAGCTGAAGGGCAAGAACAAATGGAAACAAACTGGAAAAAAAAAAAAAAAAATATATATATATACATATTTTTGGTTTTCCTAGTGCTGTTTATACCATGGAAATGCAGAACAAATTTAAACTTTAGCATAAACCTAAGCCTGCACGTATTACCTGGAGAAAATGAGATTAGTCAATGATATCAGAAAAATCAATTAAACAAAAAAAAAAGCCCATCACCTTTAGCCATGGACAGTGAATGAGAGGACTACTGGTGGCTGGAAAGCCTGGGGGAGGCGATGCATGTTTGTTACCAGTCCCAGGTTGTTCTTTGCAGCTGTAATCTTGCTGCCAAAGACAAATCCCATGTTAGGCTGCCTAAAGTAAACCAGCCTATAGGGGCATTTTGCTCACTTTATAAATAAAAACCTTGCTAAAAAGAAGTGGTGAAATCCCCTTCCTGTGTTACAGCCTGGGTGAGAAAGCAGCTCCTTCTGCCTTCTGGAGCAGGGCACACGCTGACTCGTGCTTACCTTTTAAAAACAATTAAACCCAGTATCTGCATGGTGTGAGGCAATTCCAACACGTGTCACCACATGCATGTCTGCTTCACCATCAGCATGTATGGCTCATCATCTGTCTGCTCTGAACAATAACTGTTAGGTTAGCAGCCTTTTCACTTGTAAATGTAAATATTGTATCTAGAACACAATATTTGAAATACAAAATACAGTGTTATTAAGACAGCACTCACACATCAATTCTTGTGTGACTATAATTTGTGAAATGCCTTAGGAGGGGCTTATAAATAAAGTATAAGGTGTTATTATGAAATACATTTTAACCAAATGCACAGAAATGTCTCATTCCTATTGAAATCAGTAGCAAAACTCCCACTAATTTCAGTGGTAAAAAGAGGAGACCCTTGGAAATTGCTGTGTTACACTGAGCAACACATTACAGCAGATTCCAGTCTTCATAAGAATTACAGCTCTAGAAGAAGAAAGGGGATGAAAATGGGTATTAGAGGCTGTTCAGAGCACGCTGAAGATTTTCATTTCCCACTTATGTGGCTGGTAGTGGTGCCTGCTGAGGCAGCACAGCCCTGCGCAGCCGCACGCAGCCCCTCGCCCCTTGGCAGCAGCTCTGGGGCCGGTTGTGCGCTGGGGCTGCTCTGGGTCCCCAGCAGCAAGTAGGAGCTGGCACCGGTGCTCCAGCATGGGAGCCCCTGCACGCTCAACCCACCCTGGGGAAAAGGCTCGTGACAGGGCTGGGGACGCAGGACAAGGCTGCCGGTGACCCGCAGAGCCCCCAGCACGCACTGCAGCAGCTCTTCAAGGCAAGCAACGCTCCGGGGACCCAATGCCCCAACTTCTGCCCGATGTGCAGCCAGCCAGGGACCTTTCCCCGCCAACCTCCTTCCATAGGGCACAATAACGAGCCAGTGAGCCAGAAATGTCTCGTCTCCGCCACGGCTAGCTAGCCTGTCACCAAAATAAGCTCAAGGTTCATCCGCACACACAACAGCTTCATGGCATTGCTGCAGCTGCGGAGGTGCGGGGCTGTGAAAGCTGCAGCCCCGCAGCACAGCCGGCCCTGAAGAAGGTTTCAGAAGGGGTGTAGAGGGCTGGTGATGGCTCGATGGAGGCCACCAGCGGCTGGACTGCAGGCAGTGGAGCTGGAAAAACCCAGGAAGGGCAGGGAAGAGCTACAAGGAGCTGCCTCTGCCTGTGTATCAGCACCTGCAGGAACAGCAACCACGGCACAAAAGCTCTTGGGGGAGGAAGGGATGGGAAGCTCGTTTCCATTCCTGGTGGAGCAGAAGTTGGCATTTAGATAACAAAGTACATTAGTAGGTATAAACACACTAAATGGTTACAGAAACACTGGGTTTGCACCTGTAATAATTTTTCCCAGAATTGATTTAGCTATGCAAGAAGGGCCCTGCCTATTGTGGTGTTTAATGCAATCTATCCATATCTTATAACCATATCGTATGCGTATTCACGTCTGATAAAAATCCAGAGAAATAAAAAAATTCCATGTTTCATTAATATTTGCCAATGGATGGCTTCCAGGTAATTAGAACTACTTAATGCTGGTATAACAAATATACTTAGAACTGATCAGTATCAATTAAAAAGAAATATTTTAATCTAATGTTTTTGCACATTTTTGCTTGCTTTGGGCTCTTTATTTTATTAACTATGGTCTCATGCTTTGAGCGAAGCTGCTCTTTGTCCCTAAAGGATTCAGAGTTTACGTGCATTTAATCTCGTCTGCAGCATCGCGACTACCTCAGCACCACAACTCTGCTGCTCCAAGTTTACAGTGAAGTGTTATCTGCAGTGACAAATATGCCAAAAGGAAAACATAACCAGCCTAGATAGTATCTGTGCTTTACAAAGGCTGCTTGTGATGCCTGCGCTTTGACTCAAAACTCCCTGCGCATTGGCTTTTTAATCATGAGATCCCTTTTTCAGCACGGCATCGCGAGTAACAACTGCACCACAATGAGCCAGCTTCATAGATATGGGAATGTTTAGATTTCCCTGCCAGTGACTAAAGGCCTTTAGCTTTCACTAGCCAGTCCCAGCTCGCATTGTTGTTGCCTGTTGATTTGTCTTCTCTCATTATTCCTTGACATGCAGCTCTCCACCCACGCCCACACTAACAACCCTCACACAAAGCGCATTGAGGTATTAACCAGGTTACAAGTTCAATGGAAAATTACGCTAAGATTGTGCTGTGTGGCAATATAAAGGGATGGCATTCACTCTCCCAAAGAGCCTGTTAAAAACACAGCTGGGTTGGTTGTTTTTTTTTTTTCTTATTGAGCATTCTAACAAAAACAATTTTTAGAAGTCAGGAATGTATATTTGTGTGTATATGTGTCTATACGTAATTTATGTATAATTACAACAGATAGACACAGGCTTGCATCACATCTCCACCACTGACTGGCACGATGCAAACTCCCCGCTGGAAATTCTGCTGGATTCTGGAGTTCGTTTAGAGCATCCCCAGAAACCCGAGCTAAATAAACAACCTCCTCCTGCTCTCAGCTACAATTAGGTACGTGAACCTATCTTCTTTTTGTTAGCCCAAATTACAGGCTGGTGGAAGGGCTGAAAGTCTATAAAAACGCTTCTTAAGAATCCCTCCTTATTGAAAACTGAAAATAAATTCAAAATAAAACTTAATGAGATTAACCTAACACAGTAACAAAATTTGCAACACCACACTATAAGGTTAAAAAGAAAATAGTATAATAAAGGAAATACAAAGGCTTTGGCATGGTTTTTACAATCAACAATGGTTAATTTTGATATGTAGTTGTGAACAACTTCAAAACACTTAAGTTTAAAACTCTTGCAAGCACTTTTAATTGATTAGGAATGAATTCTAGATGCACAAAAATGATTGGACTGTGAACAGTAGTACAACTATATCTAAGAACAATTAACTTGCTGACCAAAAAGAAACGTATGATGCATGAAAATGTGTATAAAACATCTATAGAATATTCTTGTCAAATATAAATGAAATTAACTTTATTATAGAAATCATTCTGGGAGATTTCTAGGGAAGACAAATACTTACATTTCGACATAAAACAAATTGGATTATATCGAAGACACAATCTACCTTTTATCTATCAAACTCTTTTCTTCATTGAAGTTCTCTCTTAACCCCTGTTTGCACATAGCTTCAGCCGTTAACAACCTTTGGAAATACCAACAGATATTTTTCTTACATAAATCTAGTGCGTATTGTTCCAGGTTTAATTATATGCAATGGAATGATACAAACTTGGAACATCAATCCATAATCTATGAACAGATTGGTAGAAGTATTCGATATATCTTGATAAAACTCTTAAATTCGTGGCAAAGCTTGTTGATCATGGCTTCTTTTTTTTTTTTCCTTTTCTTTTTTTTTTTAAAACAACTTCATGACCAACACAAATCAAACATCCATCCAGTCTACATTGTTCTTTTTTTTTTTCATTATAACATACAAATGCCCATTTACAAATAATACACCAAAATGAATAAAAGTTTGGATACCAAAATGAAGATTTGTTCCAACTGATATAATGCCTTCAGTGTACAAAGGTCCATGTGAAAGTCTTTTCCATGTGTTACAGCATAGGGCACAGTTGCAGTACAGAAGTACTCTGAGAGCCATTCTTCCTTTATAAAATACTGCTGAACATCCAACTGTTGTCCATATAGTCATTTACGGAATTAACACATGTTTTACTGTAATCTTGGCCAGTATTGAGACATATCAGGTTCACTGCCAGGAACTTGAACTGGAACTGACACTCCAGGGGAAATGAGACCTGAAAATTCAGGGGGGAAAAAATTGATATTTTAGGTTTTTCTATACATAGCATAATTCTTGCTTTACAGTTACTCAGATTTGTGCTTCTATTCCATTTTTAAATCTTGCCATCTACCAGCCTGCAGAATCAGGTGTTGGAGGTGTGTGTGGGGGGGGTGTATCTTTTAAAAATGTATGCACATCTCACAGATTTGTTGTTATAAATAAACTGTCATGCTTTGAGATAAATGCCAGAGCCTCGGCTCGTTTGTATCAGTTGGGAATTCAGCCCAAAATACACTTGAATATTTCTGTTATTTTAAAATGTGTCTGGCTTGTTCCTGCCCATGCTGACACTTACTCTTTTTCCCCTGTTTTGCCTTCTTATGCATAGGATAATATTTCTACAGGTTACCTGCCTTTTTGATAACTTCAAATCTTTAGCAAAAAATAGCCTCTGACAAAAACACACCCAGTCCTGCAAACATTTTCATGGACACTGAACTTCACGTGTGTGACTATACCCACTGAAATTTAACAGTGAAATAAATGCTGCTTTAGAAGTTAATTATACACAGGAGATTTTATGGGATGGGGGCCTGGCTGAAGAGCTTTCCACTGTACCGCTATTCAAACCCCACCTCTGTTAATCAGGTGTCTTTCATCTGCCCCTCCAGCAGCAGCTTAAAAATCAGGCTTTCTGCTCTAGCCCGTCAAGTTATACATTGTCATCTTCTGCCCAGTTTGGCAGCTACTAAACCTGACAGAGACCTCTCCCAGCGACGGGGAGAGACTTCTCCCAGCAAATACATGTGAAAAACCTGATGGCTGGAGCAAGGAAGCGGCGCTAGTGGAAAAATGGGGGGGAGCGAGGGGCCACTCACCTGTGGAAGTGGTGCCAGAGGTGCCCATCGGCTGGCTGTTCATGTGTGTCTGCATGTGAGGAGGGGTGTATGTATCATAGCTCCGTCCATTCACCGATGGACTGGTGGGCAGCATGCAAGAGTAGGAGGAGGTCTGGCTGGGTACCGGGGGCTATGGGAGCAAAGGACAAAACAGCGTTAAGTATCAGATGAGATAAACACCCCATTACGCTCTTCTGGCTGGATGTGCCAGCCCTCAGGAGCAACGTGCACAAACAAAAACAAGCCTCAGTTTCAGATTTGGGGACCTAGATGTAAATCCCTATTTAGGAGCTCAACCAAGCAGCTTCTTCCCAGAGGTTTTGGTCTACAGAAATGGCATGGACAGTCACCATGCCTTTTCAGACATGCTTGACAAGCAGATCACTACATCTAGATGTTAACAAAGGTGTTACATACCTAAACCAAGGAACCAAAGCCCTTGTTTGTGCTTACGTAGAAGAAAGATGTCTCCTGCCATTTGCAGTCACAGGGAGACAGAGCAGGGCTGGCATCTTACCTCACTTTTGGTGGTGTAACTAAAAATTCCTCTGTTGAGGTACACAGGCTGGTTACGCCAGCTTGGACCTGCAGCTGCAAGTGTGTTGCACATACACACAGATGATGTGTGGGTTTGGGGTCACTGAGGTTCTGACAGAGGATCAACACACACATACATATGCATTAATCCCCCATCAGAACCTCAGTGACCCCAAACCCGCACCAGCAGCATCCCAGGAGACCAGACATCTCCATTTACCTAAACTCCAACCCTAAAATTCGATCTGCCAGGGAGGAGAGTGGCTGGGAGCAGGAGGTGAGGGATGCCACGGTGCCGGGGAGGGACCGTGCTCCAGGGTGCCAGGGAAGGGAGGACCAGTGCAGCACCAACACGGGGACGCAGCGGGGGAACAGGAAGCAAGATGAGTAATTCCCTCTCCAAGCACCTGAGACCAAACACATCTGCACACATTTCCTCTGTCTACATGTCCCCAACACATGATGTCTCCAAAAATACTGACAACCCCACTCGCTAAGCACACACGTGCTCCAGGAGAACCAGCAACACGTCCCACATCCACAGGGAGATGCCAACAGTTTGGCTGCCAAATCTCCCACTCCCACATCGCATGGCCATCACACCGTGGTGGCCACGTAGGCAGGACTTTCCAGAGCGGCTCACGTGTGCCAGGTCCCTGCCCAGGTGCCCAGCAGTGATTCAGGGGCCTCCTACTTTCCCAAGGGTCCCCTCCCGCATCAGCCTTTTGATCTTTTGTCATCTGTTCTCAGCCCGCTGCCGGGAACGATGCCGCTGGCCTCCAACGTCACGAAATAGCGACCTAGCCAACGTCATTTCTTTCTGCAGACTTGTGAGACTCTAACTTTATTTTGTTAATTTTGGTTCAGCAATTAGTAACATAGTAATTGCTGCAGCAAAGGAGTCAGGCTCTCTAATCTGCTCGCCTGTCTCCAGCAGTGGTCAATGCTGTGTGCCTCAGACAAAGCTGTAAAACTCCCGTAATTGGCCAGCACCTTCCTAGGCCAACCCTACCATTAAAAAAGGAGGAATTTTGCATCTGAAAGGTCTATAGAAACAGACCCCAAAGGAATAGGTTTCTTCCTAACCCAGCTGGTGATCAGCTAATGCTTTCAGGCATGAGGATTGACAGCTCTTGCAATTCTGGCTTAGCTGGCATAACCACTGATGCTAATCACATCCTTCCCTCTCTCAGGTGTTCCTAATGCGCCGCCGCCGCCACATTACCTGTGCCGAGAAGGTCAGATGCCTCCAGTAGCTTATTTGGGCAGCAATTTCCACAATACTGCACCAGGGAGTTCCATAGGTTAGCTGCAGGTTTTTTTCCAAGAAGGGTTTTTTCATCCCAGATTTGTTGCCTTGTAATTTTGAGGACCTTTCACTTTTAAAATTTGGGACAAGGGTTTGTCAGAGCACTGGAACATACAGTGCTCTT